AAAAAAAAAATCTAAGATGATTAAAAAATAAAAAGAAAAAAGTGATGCAAATTGACTTAAATTTCTCAAAGAAAACATGTACCACAAAAGCAATAATAAACCACCTTCATCATTAAAATATATGAGCCCTGAAGTTGCTCAAAACCAGGATTTCAAAAATCATTTGACAAGCAGGAAGAATGTCATAAAAAGTCAAAAAAAAAAAAAAAAAATCTTCAAGGAGAAAGACAAACATAATGTGAGGGACTTAATAAACACAACCAGACAGAGATTTGTATATTAGTAGACTAAGGATTACCTTAAGACCTGAACCTGAGCTTTTATAATTAGAGTATCAGAATCTATAAACCCATCACACACTTTTGATAATTCCATAAACTTTTTCCATCCCCAGTCATGCTCTTTCTTCCAGAACCGATGTAAAGTATCTGTAATTTGAACCAAGTCATTCAGAGTTCATGAACTCTATTTTACTGATTATACTAATTTTTAAACAACTGACCTGAATATTTTGATTTCTTTGGATCCTTATTAACCACAGCTATTGTAAACTGTGCAAAGTGACTCCAACCTGTCTCATAATTGAGAAACCCACACAATTAAAATCACAGAAAAACAGTGTCAATGATAAAGAAAGCAGTTTGCAATTAGTAATATCAAACCTGGAAGAAGTTTGTCATTATTAGCAACACAGAGAAACAAAGATAGATGATTGCAAACATCACAACCTTGGGGATAAATTAAAATGTACCTGCATAACATTAACAGAAGTGAATCAAAGCTAATAACTGTGACCTCTTCAAAATCAATATATTTTTCAAATCAATTTTCACTCACAAAATCATTAAAATTTGGGAATATCTATAAAACAATGGCAATTTCCTGCACTTAGTCAGACAGGAGATAACCTGTCATCAAGAGGATGGAATTACATGGGAAAAAACATAAATATATACATCAATGCCATTAATGCATTGATCTTCTAACTAAAACTTCAGAATCTGATCAATTTTATGAATGCAAACATACATACATACACATAAATGTACGGAATATAAATATACCCAGACATAAACAGATAGTCAAATTTAACACAGGTTAAAAAAAAAGAAGCACAAAGTTGAGCAAATATAGAACAAACATAATTTTGAAAAGAAAATAAAAACCAAAATACCATTGAATTAACCAGGATATGAAATAAGAAAATTAAATCATGAGAACAATTAATATTCAAAAGAACCATAATTCCTACCATTTGTAGCCTCCAACCTCAAAAGCATTACTACGAAGTTCTCTTCTGTTAATCTGTGAAAATTTCTCTATCTTCCATGTATACTTTCCAAATAATTCAGAAGGTTTAGGCCCTATAAAGAAGCATGAGAACCAGTTTCAGATATGGCAAGAAGGAATGAAACCAAACATTTAGTTAAGCCCAAAGACAAGCACTGTAGCAAAGAAATCACAACAAATCTCAAACAGTGGAGCCAACATCATTTCCATGCTTCAAATGCCTATAACCAAGAATACATGTATAGACGAACTGCCTAACAGGTATTCCCATGCTCAGTTCAGTTTTTACTTTTACCACACCCAAATGTTTCAGAAAAAGTGTCAAG